TTTACTTGCCAAAGAGGTCAGCTGTAAATGTGAACCTTCGGTTGGCCACCAAAACTCAAGCGCCGGTCGGTGATGGTGTGGGCCGCCATAACAGACGATCATATTAATCGACTGTGGCTTCATAATAAATGCCGAATATTATCGCGAAAATATTCGGGAGGGTGTATTAAAGCCTTGGGCAAGCAAACATTTTGTCCGCAGACCTTGGACTTTCCGACAGGACTCAGCACCATCGCACTCAGCAAGTGCCACCCAAGAATGGTAACAAAATTCGCTTCATTCCAGCCAACAATGGCCACCAAAATCTCCGGATCTCAATCCGTTGGACTATTGTGCCTTAACGCATGTACTTTTTGGAATACGAATTCTATTTATTGATTTCAACTAATCACATTTTTTGAGTGTATGCAGAAATCCACAACACTTTTTGTTAGGTTTATAAAATTGACTACCAATACATGGTTGTTGCTCATGTTTAGGACCCTTGGGAACTTCATTTGGCTACACTCTCTGGGGGGCAATGTCATGAGCTTCGTAAAAATTAGACCTTTGGGCTCTTCTTGGCCAGAATGTAAGCCTGTCAGCATACGTGTGTCTAATGTAGACAATTTGCAGATTTTCATTATGAGCATGCCTCAGAGAAAAGCGAAAGTTTCCTCGTTTCCTTTTTTTCAAAGCAAATCGAATTTCTGTATAAATGTCAAAATAATGTTAACGTCTATGCAGCGCCTACAGCGCCAAAGAAAAAATCAATTGGCCTAAAATCAAGACAATTTATTGTTTCCTTTTGGGATCGCAATAATTGTAATTACCATAAGATTGGCTGCGATTATCTGAAGTTTAAGTAAGCTCTTATATTTGCATCCTACATGGAGTTATAATTGAGACAAACAGAAAAAAAAAATATTAGTTGGCATTATTCATTTCATAATGAAAAATTTTGTCAGCAAAAAAGTGGGTGAAAGAAATCGTTTTGGAATTCAAAATTTGATTGTTCTTCATATTAAATAAGATCTGGAGTCGATTTCAGTAAAATTGGCTTAGTTTTTTCCTTTAATTTTTATATATTCAAAGGATGGCCAGGATTCTGGTTTAAAAGTCGTGATAAAGGTACAGGAAATAACCTTTCATTTCTCTTAAACAATTCTCCTTTTTATCTAAGGAATGGTGCACGAATCCCCTGTTCCATACAATAAAATAAATGACAAATAATTTATTTTATTAAAAAGAATTCAATTTTGTCCATTTTCCCCTGATTTTAATTCAAATTCCTTCCACTGCAGGGTGCTTCAAAATATGATAGTTTTTTAGGGTTTCATATCCCACATCTGTTTTCCACATTTTTGTCGACAGTAGGAGCGGAAAATAAAATTCAAACACAAATATTTTCACACACTCTAAACAATGCAAAAGGCATAAAAATACTCCGGTATAGATGTCAAAAAACTACAACAAATTTTAATTGGTAGCATTTAGAAAGACAAAAAAAAACACCCAACAGCAACAAATAATCGTTTAACACATGGTGACCATAGAGACACAAGTGTTTGGTGAACAGCATGACATGCCAAACAAAAATAAGGGGAACAGTGGTTAAAATCAAAACAAAAAAAAAAAAAAAAGAAATGAATAAAATAAAATCAATTTATTTCGGTTTAAATAAATAGCTTATTCGGAAAAGAACAAAAATGGTCTCCAGAATAATATTGACCTTAGAAAATGTAATTTGTTCAATATCGGGAGGATGAGCAGGAAGTGGATCCAATGAAAACTATAAAGCGTGGAAAATATTTTAATTTGTTATGCTTGTGCCGTCCAAAATTTAAAACTATTTATTTCTCAAAAAAAAAAAAAAAAACCATCTGCTTCGGCACTATGGTGTTGTGGTCCTAGGAGCCATGTTCAGGGGGTGGTTCCATCCCATACACCAATGGCCCTGGGGACGAACAATTAAAGAAGTCATGGATGAACAGAAATCCTATATGACACAAACAATACGTACACCTGGAACAAAGGAGCTTGATAGTTTTGCTCCCATCGAGTTTATTAGGGCCCGGATTCCACAAACACGCCAGCACAAAATATACACCAACTTCCCCCTCTTACAAATAAAAAATATCTATTAACAAGTGTTAGCCAGAGAGATAAATTTATTTCTTTTTATTTGTGGCGCCCAACATAAACAACAATTAATTTCATAAAATAGAAAAATATCTCCAGAGAAATAATAACTGCGATAACTATGGATTTTAATAGATTTAAATTTGTTATGGCGCCCAATATAGGGAGGGAGGGTTAGCGCCCCTAAAAAAACTATTTATTTCTAAAAAATTAAAGATCTCCGAATATATAATAGCCAGAAAACAATCAGAAGAATCACATTCAAATTTTATAGATAGAAAGAGGAAGAAGCCGCTTCTATAAGCAATTATGAGACATAGAGATTGGACGGTATGAAAATAACCAAATAGGTAGTATTGATAGGTGGGGTTATTTGAAGCGGAGATATAAAAAAATCGATGTTTTGGAACCGGATTTACAAAAAAAAAAAAAAAAAAAAAACAGAAGTAGAAGTAGAAGTAGACAAAGGCCCCAATTTTGGAGTCCACAAAATATATGCCAACTTATTCGACTCCTTTTGGTTTTTGTAAAGAATTCGGCTCCAAAAATATCGACAATCTGGATAAACTTCCGAATCGTTCTAAATAACTCCACCATCTGACCTCTTGTTGGGTAGGCTTTGTAAAGAATTCGGGTCCAAAAATATGGAAAATCTGGATAAACTTCCGAATCGTTTTAAATAACTCCATCATCTGATCACTTGTTGGGTAGGTATTTTTATTAGCTTTCATATATCATAACACATTTAGTAGGTCCGGGACTAACCTGGATCTTGGACCCTGACTTTCAGGTCAAATATCCTGGAATTCGGGCCTATCCACAAGAAAAAAATAATTTCCTAGAACCAGGGTACAAGTACTTACATCTGATAAGGACTTAAAAAGAGTTTTTACTAAACTGGAGATGTTCTAGAAAATCGTTGTCAGATTTAATTTTCATAGGAGTCTATTATTAAATGAAACGGTCCGGACTAACCCGGATTTCGAACCCTGACTTTTGGCTCAAATATCCTGGAATTCGGGTCTGTCCACAAGAAAAAAAATACATTCCTGGAATCAGGCTACAAGTACCTACCTCTGGAAAGGATTTCAACAGAGTTTTTTATTAAACTAGAGGTGTTCCAGAAAATCATTGCCAGGTTTAACTTTTATAGAAGTCTACTATTAATGGAAACGGCGGTCAATTAACATTTTTTAGCAAAAAAAACCAATGATTCTTATTTATTGTAGGACAATTGCAAGTTTTAAATTTCATTCCAGGATATTTGTTTAAGATAGAGGATTTGAAGTTATAGACCCCAAGATAGATTACAACAAATAATATTGTAGATGATGGCACCAAATGTAAGGGCTTAGATTTTAAAGGGTTATATTTCCATAGAAGAATTCTCGGGGCCGTTGGTATGAACAATAAACAAAGTATTGTTTAAAACAAATGTTTTGAATTTAAAACCTTACAATCTCCAAAATTCTATTGATTGGAGGCCATTGGAAGGTTATATTTCTATAGGAATTCTATAGAGAGAGCCGTAGCTATCTATACCAGGACAATTAAAGTTTTTTAGCAAACGGCGCCCAACATCAGAATTTTTAGTTGGCGACTCCAAGAAACATTCGAAGAAATAACATAATAGATAATGGCTCCCAATGTAAGGGGTGTATTTTAGAAGGGATCTATTTCCATAGAAGAATTGTAGAGGTCGTTACTATGAACAATAAACAAAATATTGTTTAAAACACATTTTTTTGATTTTAAGACCTTACAATCCCAAAATTTGTTTCAAAATTAAAAATAAAATAGCAATACGGAAACGTAAGTAATTTTGTTTTGGGCGAAATTTTTGTTGGGAAGATTGATTTTTTATAGAAGGCGTTCATAGGCTCATCATTAGAAACTAAAATTTGAAAATAAAAAAATCAAGTTGAGAAGGTTTTCTATACAAAAAATTATAAAATTATATTTTCCTATTGTAAATCCCTACGTTGGGCGCCATTGTAAATAAGACCTCTAGACTCTAAATGAAGAAATGAAAAAGAAGACCATTGGAAAGTATAGTTTGTAAAGAAAGCTTCCAGGTAAAGGCTTCAAAATATCTGCGTTATATCAAGGGCTTGATAGCTTTCATAAAAATTATACATTCCAATGATTTTCTGTACAAAAAAAGTAAAAATTTATTTTTAAGTTAAATTATTACGTTGGGCGCCAACTTGCGTCAAATTCAAAATATATTTTTTAACCGTTGTCTATACATAATTTTTTTTTTTTTTTTTGTTTTTGAAAGCTTTCACAAAAATTATACCTTCCAATGGTCTTTCATACATAAAATCATAAATTTCTTCTTAAGATAAATCCTCACGTTGGGCGCCAATATAAAGAAGACTTCTAGACGGTTTTCTACCTTTACAGTGAATTAGAATAATTCATAATATTTTTAACCACTGTCCATACACAAATGGTTTTTGGTTGAGCATGAGAAACATTGAAAAACACATGTTGCTCACAACTAAACTGAATTCGAAGGAATTTTCTATGCTGCCAAATGACAGGGCAAAATTCCATAATGCATTTCAAAGACAACTCCTTGCCATAATGACTTGAATTCTTAAGAGAAAAAAAAATATAAAAATAAAATAAAAATATTTGAAAAAAAAAATTTCTGAATAAATACATTAAGGAAACATAAACCATATGAAATGGCGCCCAAATAAAATTATTGTTTTTTTGCAGATATATTTTTTAAGGATATGAAGCCATTTTTTATTATTTTTTTAAAAGCTATATAAAATAAATTATTATAAAATAATCATATAATTTTTAAGTAGCAAATTTTAATGCAATTTTAGATATTAAAATAAAAATTTATATCACTCAGCACTTACCTTAACCCGTTCCAAATATTCCTGCAACACAAAATATGGATCGTCATCGTCGTCAATATCCAATGGCAAATTGCTTAAATTAAATGGCAAATCCAAATTGGCCAAGGCTTCTAATTTACTGCGGCAATTTGAGGCAGATTTGGCCAACTGCTCGTCAGTGGCTAATGGTGATGTGACGGCGGCCACATCATCACCTGGGCTGTTATCACCATTTGTGACATCTGAAGCGGCTGGGGTATTACTTAAGCCAGATTCTGGTTCTGTCATGGTTATTTGTGGATTTCTCGATGATGAGGTTGTTGCATTAACGCTTCCGTATTTATTGACAGCGTTTTGAAGACTACAACGTGGAATGATGGCGGCAGCAGTTGTTCTCATTTGTTCGACACCATTATCGGAATTCGAGGATATGCCAGCAGCAGCAGCAGCACTTGACTTGACTAAGGAAGGAGAAGAAGATAAAGAGGAAGACATTGATGTGTGGTTGATTTTGTCATCGTTTTTAACTTGTATTTCTTGGGCATTGCTGTTTGTGGCGGCTTTGCCATTGACAGCAGATGGTGGTGATGCATCAACTTCATCTGTCGTTGCCAGGGAAGTTTTTCTAGTTCGAAATGTCGTTGTTGTTGGGGAAGATTTTTGACACATGTTACTTGCAACGCCGCCGCCGCCGCCATTGATAACCAGTGACTGGTCATGTTGTTGTCGCTGCGGATATGTCATGTTTGCTGTTGTTGTATTTTGTTGTTGTGATGTTGATCTCATCGGTTTATTGCACGGATTCTTTGTGGAAGTTCTATTAATAAAATTGTCATGTTGTTTTTGTGTTTGTTCTGCAATGAAAGAAAAAAAAAAGAAAAGGAAAAATTATTAACAAACTGCTCACTTCATGTGGCCAACAATTGCTTGTTTACATTTCCTAGTCTTTTGTTGCTGTTGTTTTTTTTTTTTCTATTATAACAAAGCGTTAAAATTTATAACAAACTGTTTCTAATAAACTTGTCAGTTCATAATTCTTATGTTTTGCCTATCTCGGTTTTTCTTTTTGCCATTTATTATGACTCTCTGCTTCTTAAAATAATATTTTGTAGTCACGTTCTTCTACAACGTCGCGTCGTCTGGTCGCATTGCTGGTAGCCGTGTTGTTGTCAAAGGCTTATACAATTGTTGCAATTACCATGACAATTGTTGTAGTGTTCAGCCAGAATTGAGGTCTCAGCACACCGTCTGGACACAGTGCTTTGAATTAGGTGAAAAAACTAGTCGACAGAAAGAAGACTCAGTCATTGAAAAAAGCTTCCTGAAAATTTCACGACTTGGTATAATTTTTAGGGACATTCATAGACAGTCCCTAAAAATTATACCAAATCTAATCTAAGGCTGTAGGTGTGACCACGTACTGGATTTAGAATCCTATTTATTAAAGGCCATACGAAAGCTTTATTTTCTAAAAAAAAATATAGAGAGCCATGCCATGCGAAGCTATGTATCAGAAAAAATAAAGTTTTTATTTGTAGAAAATGGCGCCCAAGATCAGAATTTTTAATTAGGGAAAAATTCGAAAAAAAAACAAACATTCGAAGAAATAACACAATAGATGATGGCGCCCAATGAAAGGACTTCAATTTCGGTGGGTTTTGTAACACACAGAGTGAGGTGAAAAAATTCCAACCAACTTCAGACTGCTGTCGTTTCTTAGACACTCGTCCGACAGCTTTTAAGATTAGTCCAGTGACAGCTCATTATATTCTTTACAAGCATACAAAAACATTTTGGTGAGAAATTTCCAGAAAAAAAATTATTTGTGACTGAATTCAAGCGTGATAGTGTAATTTCTTTATATTTGGCTGGAAAACCACAAGTGGCTATCGTTAGAGCACTCCAGCATTTAAATGTGAATAAATCTTTTGTGTTCCGTACCATCACTCGCTACCGTTATACTGGTAGCGTAGCCCGACGTCAAGGAAGTGGACGGAGGAACATAGCAACATCAGCAGAAATGGTTCGAAAAGTAAAGAAGGGACTTGATCGAAACCCGCGTCGCAGTGGCCGAAAAAAGGCTCGTGAGCTGAAAATATCGCAATATTCCATTCGGCAAATACTGAAAACTGAGCTCGGGGTTAAACCATTGAAATTCCGAAAAGTTTAAGAACTTACACCGAAACAGAAAAAAATATATTCAAAAGAGCAAAAGAATTGCTTCGCTTAGTCGAAAGAGGTGAACTGCCGAATTTGGTTTTCTCCGATCAGAAAACATTCGTTGTCCAGCAGTTTGTAAGCAAACAAAAATCATGTTTACTTGCCAAAGAGGTTAGCTGAAAATGTGCACCTTCGGTTGGCCACCAGAACTCAAAGGGCGGTCATGGTGATGTTGTGGGCCGCCATAACAGGCAATGGTCGCTATCCGCTCGTATTACCGTGGCATCAAAATAAATGCCGAATGTTATCGCGAAAATATTGTGGAGGGTGTATTAAAGCCTTGGGCACGCAAACATTTTGGCCGTAGACCATGGACATTCCAACAGGACTCAGCACCATCGCACGCGCCACCCATGAGATTCCACGCTTCATTTCCAGCACACAATGGCCACCAAAATCTCCGGATACCAATCCGTTGGACTATTGTGTCTGGAGTATTTTGGAAAGCAAGGTTGGCACTTAAAAATACCAAAGTGTCGATCACCTCAAGCAAGCGCTTCAAGGGGAATGGGCCAAAATACCGCAGAGCAACATTCGGGCAGCGTGTGACTGTTGCATTGGCCGTTTGAAGGCCATAATTCGTGCCATAGGTGACCAATTCGAACCAATCTAAGCGTATTCTAAAATTTAATTCTATCTCCGACATTTTTCGCTTTCATTCAATAAAATTAAAAAAAAAATGTAAAAACTATGGCGTTTGACTTTGTTGCAATTGTTTTATCTCACTTTAATTTGGGAATCATTTTCAAAATTCCATCAGAAATTTTTTCAATGTTTTTTTTTTTTTTAAGACTGTTCCTTGCAAGGTATGTCCATGAGTCCAAAAATTCCACAATGTTTGTTTCTCCTTCCGATTTTCTACCACAAATTTTTGCCTTTTAATATTTTTGCTTATATTTATTTCTATATATTTTTTTTTTGCTGCTGTAAATGTTTCTTGTAATTTATGTCGAACAGTTTTATTGTTGGGTCACACATTTTTTGTGTTGTTGCAACCATTTTTCATCCCGTGTGTTCTCCCACCATCACTATTGTATGACTGCATTGTAAATTTGGCGATGGTGTTACATTTGCATCTAAATATGTTTATGAATGTCTAGCTAAATGATTGTTTATTTGCTTGTGGGTTGTATAAGAAAAGCCGTAGTACAATGTCGCGGCAAAGTTGGCAATGTTGGCAACATGGTGGTTTTTGGGTACTTTGGAAATTGGTAACAACTCAATGTTAGTTATAGGGGAAGGGAAGGTGGGTATGAGTATTAAAATTTGCAGAAAAATATTAACAAAAAAAGTGTTTTGAATTCCAAAACCAAAAAAATTGTTAACATATACAGGGTGAGATAAAAAAACTGCAACAAAGTCAAACGCCATAATTTTTACTTTTTTTAATTTTATTGAATGAATGCAAAAAATGTCGGAAATAGTATCAAATTTAAGAATAAGTTTAGATTTGTTCAAAATGGTCACCTTTGGCACGAATTATGGCCTTCAAATGCTAATGCAGTATTTTGGCCCATTCCGGCGGAGCGCTTTCTTGAAGTGAGCGACACTTTGGTATTTTTTAGTGCCAACCTTACTTTCCATAATACTCCAGACGCAATAGTCCAACGAATTGGTATCCGGAGATTTTGGAGACCATTGTGCGCTGGTAATGAAGCAAGGAACCTCATTTTGTAACCATTCTTGGGTGGATCGTCCTGTTGGAATGTCCATGGTCTGCGGCCAAAATGTTTGCGTGCCCAAGGCTTAAATACACCCTCCAGAATATTTTCGCAATAATATTCGGCATTTATTCTGATGTCACGGTCGATTAATACGAGCGGAGAGAGACCATCGGCTGTTATGGCGACCCACACCATCACCATGTCCGGCGCTTGAGTTCTGGTGGCCAACCATGAACTTTTTGGAATTTCAATGGCTTTACCCCGAGTTCAATATTTCAATATTTGCCGAATGGAATATTGCGATATATTCAGCTCACGAACCGTTTTTCGGCCACTGCGACGCGGGTTTCGATCAAGACGCTTCTTTACTTTTCACACCATTTCTGCTGATGTTTCTATTTTTCACCGTTCACTTCCTTGACGTCGGGCTACGCTACCAGTATCACGGTAACGAGCGATGGTACGAGACACAAAAGATTTATTCACATTTAAAAGCTGGAGTGCTCTAACGATAGCTACACTTGCTTTTCCAGCCAAATATAAAGAAATCACATTATCACGCTTGAATTCCATTACGAATAACTTTTTTTCTGGAAAATTATCACCAAAATGCTTTTTTTTGTGCGCTTGTAAATAATATAATGAGCTGTCACTGGAATAATTTTAACAACTGTCGGACGAGTGTCTTAGAAATGACGGCAGTCTGCAGTTGGTTGCAGGTTTTTCATCTCACCTTGTATATTAAAGACATTTTGTGATAGCTAACACTTTGCAGACATATGTAAGCTAAAAATATTTTAAAGTAGGCGAATTTTACGCAGCTAAAAAATAATTTATACAAATCCGAAATATTGCAAAAATTAACAGGTGATCTGAAGACACTAGAACAATTCGAAATTTCAAAGTTGCAATTCCTTTGGATTCTTGAAAAACAATGATTAAAAATCCGAAATACTCAAAAAATTAAAAGGTGATCTTAAGACACCAGATAAATTTAAAATTTGCAGATCTTTTGGATTCTTAAAAAAATCTTGAATTTCTGCCTCTGCAATCATTGCACAATTGAGACCTCAATTATTGACACTTGCAGATTTCTATCAGTTTGACAATCGGTTGTGCCTTTTGGCTCATGAAAAACAAAAAAATATATGGCTTGTTTCGTGCTACTCAAAATCCAAGACAAGACAGGCCTGCCAACCCGAGAGACAACAACGCTGCAACCATAAATCTTTGTCAAACTAAAGTGTCAGAAAAATTAACGAAAAATACTCAAATTCCAATCAAATCAATTACAGCGAATATTAACAGCTGTCAATTGTGTGTTATTAAAATATAACAATGACTACAATAGTTGCGTTTTTTGTTTTTGGATTTTGAATGAGAATATTTTAAAACAAAAAATTTTTAAGGATTTAAAAGAATACAAAAGATTTTCAAGGTATGATGCATACTTCTAGGCGAGCATATGATCTTCAAATACCTAGTAATAGATGTTATGACCAGTTGTTGCATTTTAAAGCATTGTAATTAATTCTTATTTCATTTGAAATTGAAAAAACACACCTATTATTGTAAAATTGCACTGCCATAAAATAATTGAATTGCCAACAACAGCAACAATTCCTCAACACTTTTTTTTTTGCAAGCAAAGTACATAAATTTCCCAACAATTGAGATAGATAGAGAAAAAATCTACATAACTTCCATTACAAAGAAGTCAAAGCACCAATATGATTTCAGGCAAAATATCATAACGTTTGAAAAGGCAAGAAATCATAAAACAATTAATCATTATTTTGATATGTAACACACGCTAGGGAGCAGAGTGTTCAAAAGAAAATCATTGCCTTACACAATAACAATTAGATATTGTTTATTTATTTTTTTGAATATTTGAAAAATAAAAAAAAACATGGCCAGCATTATTTCAATACGAATAACCTCACAATATAGATCATTCGAAAAAAAAC